AGAGGAAATGCTTGAGTTTTAATCAAGAAAGAGTTAAATCAAATGGTCCTTCCTGAAACCTGGGGATGCAGGGGAGGGAGCCAGGAGGTGAAAGGGGGAGATGTGTGGGTTTCTGTTTGGGGTTTTTCTTTGTTGTTTGTTTTTTGTTATGTAATGAGATCAGAGGAAGTGCTTGGGTTTAATCAAGAAGGATTTTAATCAAACGGTCCTTACTGAAACCTGGGAATGCAGGAGCCCAAACACAGCCTCCAGGCCAGGTCAGCAAAAGCTACTCCATGCCGCCTTGTATTTCTGCCCACAGCTACGCCACCACGTTGCCTCTTTGCCCCTGTCCCTGGGGTGTTCAGAGGTGCCTTGTGAGCTTGACCTGCCCTGACCTGCCACAGGACACATCCCTGCAGAACCCCACCATCCACCCATGCTGCGCTTCCTCTGGGAGAGCATCTCCTTCCAGATGCTCCTCATCTTCCTCGTTGTCTTCCTGCTCATCGCCGATTATATGAAGAAAAGAAAGCCAAAGAACTTCCCTCCTAGCCCCATCTCTCTTCCCCTCCTGGGGCATGCCTACTTGCTGATCTTCAGAAATCCTCAAACTGTAACTGAGAAGGTAGAGGAGTGTTGGGCACCACAGGACAGTGGGGATTGTGGCAAAACAATATTTACAGTGCAGGGAGGGTTTTGCAAAAATCCCATGGGCCATGAGAACTCGGAGGAGCTCACCCCAGGGAAGGCGGGAGGTGGATGAAGTTTGCCCGGTTACAAGGAAGGGGAAAAAGTATGGATCAATCCTGTGGGCAAAGGGCATGGCATGACACCACGGGTGCAGTCACAGTTGTAGAACCCTGTAGGTCTGAGCTGGGACTGGAAGGGCATTTGGGAAGAAAATTCAAACCTGGAGATGTTTACCTGATTAATGACCAATTAATGTCAACTCCTGATTAGGGTTTCAGGAAGAGAGAAAAGACAAAAGTCCGTGCACAGACTGTCAGACACTTGTGCAAATGCCCTGGCTCCTCTCAGCTTCCCTTATTTTCAACAGTGTCCCCTGCCCCAATGTCTGTCCCTGTCATTGAATCATTCAGGTTCGAAAAGCCCTTTAAGATCATCAGGTCCAACTGTCAACCCAGCACAACCATGGCCATTAAACCACACCCCAAAGTGCCACATTAACATGTTTTTTTAACACCAGGGATGGTGATAACAACTCTACTAGCACATACATACATTGCAAACAAAACCCTTTTATTTATTTCCCCCTCTTCTTCCAGCTTCCTGAAAGATATGGGGACATCTTCAGCATGCATGTGGGCAGCATATGGTGTGTGTTTGTAAATGGGCTGCAGATGGTAAAGGAAGTTCTTGTAAACCAAGGGGAAAACTTCTTGGAACGCCCTGACATTCCTATCAACAGGGATGCCTTTGGCAACAAGGGTGAGTTATCCCTCAGGACTCGTTACCTCAGCTGTAGGGCCAGAGCATTGACCATGCAGAGGTCCCAGGTGGCTGGAGATAATGCAGGGTCAGAAGGGATTTGCCTTGGCTCACTGCAGTGTGTTCCTGCCAGGACTGATCTCCTCCAGTGGGCACCTGTGGAAGCAGCAGAGGAGGTTCACCTTGACCACCCTCCGAAACTTTGGCTTGGGGAAGAGGGGCCTGGAGGAGCGCATCCAGGAGGAGTGCCAATTTCTCGTGGATGAGTTTAGGAATGAACAGGGTGAGTGCCACAGCCCTCATAAGTTGCAATGAAGGCAGCAACCGATATGGCCCATTATAATTTCACCCATGATCCACTGCATGCTGAAAGATACGTCATCTTGCAAGCAATGCTAGCACCCTCCCAGCACCTCAGCCTCCTTTTATGGGTGTTTTGCCCTAAAACTGCCTGGTAAATACAGTCAGGTAGCACCCAAAGTGTTAATCTTAGCCCACCTTCAGCCCACTCTCACCTGGACATCTCTTAAAAATCCCAATGTGTGTGTGAACACCAGTGTTTCCAATGAATTCAAATGACATATACTCTTCCAGAGACCTTGCTTTCCAAAGTAAACAAATATCTCCATAATTTGACACAACTGGGACCAACAGTTGGATGCTTGCTCCACACTGGCACTGCTCAGCCAAGCTTGGCCTGTTCGAGGGACAGCGTGGTGTCCCAGGAGAGCAGTGATGCAGAAGCATTCCCATCAGGAGCCACTCATTTAATTCATAGTTGTTCAATGTTGTACACATGACAACTGTGTTTTCTCCTCATATTCTGTGAAGGCTGGAAGAGAATTGGTAATTCCCTTTTACTTCTCCAGGGACTCCTTTCAATCCACACTTTAAAATCAATAACGCCGTTTCAAACATCATCTGCTCCATCATCTTTGGCAATCGGTTTGACTACAATGATGAGGAATTCCAAAAATTGTTGCAGCTGCAGGATGAGATGGACAGACTCAATGCGAACTTCATGACCCAGGTA